ATATGTCTATTTATTTATTTATTTATTTTGAGACAGAGTTTCATTTATTGTTGCCCAGGCTGGAGTGCAATGGCATGATCTCGGCTCACCGCAACCTCCACTTCCTGGGTTCAAGCGATTCTCCTGCCTCAACCTCCCAAGTAGCTGGGATTACGGGCATGCACCACCATGCCTGGCTAATTTTGTATTTTTAGTAGAGACTGAGTTTCTCCATGTTGGTCAGGCTGGTCTCAAACTCCTGACCTCAGGTGATCCACCTGCCTCGGCCTCCCAAAGTGCTAGGATTACAGGCATGAGCCACTGTGCCCAGCCTATATATGTCTTTACATTTAAAGTGAGTTTCTTGTAGTCACCATATAGTTGGGTCTTATTTTTTAACCCGCTTTGACAATCTCGGTCTTTAATTGGTGTTTTTAGACTATTGATGTTTAAAATGATTATTGCTATAGTTGGATTAATATCTACCATGTTTGTTGCTATTTTCTATTTGTTGCCTGATATGGTTTTGCTGTGTCCCCACCCAAATCTCATCTTGAATTTTAGCTCCCATAATTCCCACATATTGTGGGAGGGACCTGGTAGAGTTAATTGACTCATGGGGGTAGTTTACCCCATACTGTTCTCGTGGTAGTGAATAAGTTCTATGAGATCTGATTTTTTTTAGTGGAAACCCCTTTCACTTGGTTTTCATTCTCTCTCTTGCCTGCCACCATGTAAGACGTGCCTCTTCCCTTCTGCCACGATTGTGAGGCCTCCCCAGCCATGTGGAACTGTGAGCCCATTAAACCTCTTTTTGTTTATAAATCACCCAGTCTCAAGCATGTCTTCATCAGCAGCATAAAATCAAACTAATACATTGCCCTTGTTCTTTGCTACTATTTTTGTCTCTACTCTTTTTCTGTTTTTTGTGGTTTTTACCAATAATTTTATATTCCATTTTCTCTCCTTTCTTAGCATATCAATTATACTTCTTTTTAAAATACTTCTTTAATGGTTGCCCTAGAGTTCACAATATACATTTACAACTAACATAAAAGTCCTCTTTCAAATAAAACTATACTGCTTCATGAGTAGTGCAAGTATCTTATAATAGCAACATAATTCTAATTACTCCCTCCCAGCCCTCCATTATTGCTTTATTTTGTGTAATTACTTACACTTAAACTATGTCATCAAATATATTGTTGCTATTATTTTGAACAAGCTATTATCTGTTAGATGAACTAAGAATAAGAAAAAACTATTTACCTTCAATTATTTCTTCTCTGATGCTCTTCCTTTCTTTATGTGGATCTGAGCTTCTGACCTGTGTTATTTTCCTTCTGTCTGAAGAACTTCTTTTAGCGTTTCTAGCAAGGCAAGTGTACTGGCAACAAATTCTTTCGATTTTGTTTGTCTGAGAAAGTCTGTGTTTCTCCTTTACTTGTAAAGGATTTTCACAGGATACAGAATTCTAAGTTTGTGTAGTTTTATTTTCCTGTGAACACTTTAAATTTTTCACTCCACATTCCTCTTACTTGCATGGTTTCCGAGGAGAAGTCAGATGGAATCATTATCTTTGCCCCTCTATAGGTGTATTAGGGGAAATTATCAGGCATAATTACTTCAAAGGTTGCTTCTGTTTTTTGTTTTGTTGTTTTGTTTTGTTTTGTTTTTGAGACAGAGTCTTGATCTTGTTGACCAGGTTGGAGTGCAATGGTGCAATCTTGGCTCACTGCAAGCTCCACCTCCCAGGTTCAAGCAATTCTCCTGCCTCAGCCTCCTGAGTAGCTGGGATTACAGGTGCCCACCACCACGCCTGGCTAATTTTTGTATTTTTAGTAGAGATGGGGTTTCACCATGTTGGCCAGGCTGGTCTCAAACTCCTGACCTTGTGATCCGCCCGCCTCAGCCTCCCAAAGTGCTGGGATTACAGGCATGAGCCACCGCGCCCGGCCTCCTCTGTCTGCTTTTAAGAGTTTCTCGCCGGGCGCGGTGGCTCAAGCCTGTAATCCCAGCACTTTGGGAGGCCGAGACGGGCGGATCACGAGGTCAGGAGATCAAGACCATCCTGGCTAACATGGTGAAACCCCGTCTCTACTAAAAAATACAAAAAACTAGCTGGGCGAGGTGGCGGGCGCCTGTAGTCCCAGCTACTCGGGAAGCTGAGGCAGGAGAATGGCGTGAACCCAGGAGGCGGAGCTTGCAGTGAGCTGAGATCCGGCCACTGCACTCCAGCCCGGGCAACAGAGCGAGACTCTGTCTCAAAAAAAAAAAAAAAAAAAAGAGTTTCTCCTTGCTTTCTGTTATCAGCAGTATGAATATGACATGACTAAGTGTTTTGTTTATTTGTTTGGAATCCATTGCTTCCTAAATATTTTGTTTGGTGCCTACCATTAATTTGGATAATTATTGGCCATTATTTCTTCAGATTTTCTGCCTCATTCTCCTTTTTTCTTCTGGAATTCTAATAATGCATAAGTCAGATCATGTGGCTGTAAGATAAGTGGCCTAAAACAACACACACTTATCTCAGAGTTTCTGTGGGGGCAGGAGTTCAGGCACAGCTTAGCTGGCTTATTGTTGGGTCTTACGAGGCTACAATTAAGGTGTCAGCTGGGTTGCATTCTCATCTGGAGGCTTGACTGGGGAAGGATCAAAGCCCCCTCAGATTCTTGGCAGAATTTGTTTCCTTGAAGTTGTAGGAATTATGGCATCTTGCTTCTCACCCAGCAAATGAGAGACCCTTGAGAATGAGTCTGCAAGCAAGATGGAGTCTTGTATAACATCAGGTGATCGGGGAGGGACATCCTATCACCACTGCCATATTCTGTTGTTTAAAAGCAAGCCACAGGCTCTGTCCACCCTCAAGACGAGAGGATTATTCAAGGATGTGAACACCAGGAGGCAGGGATCACGCATCTACCTTAAAACCCGTCCACCCCATAGGGGAAGAATATTAAGGCAAGAGCTGAATCTAGTGTTTAGCGGAGATCCTGGAGATATAGATTTTAGGATCATCAGCATATGGATGGCATTTAAAGGACTGAACTGGATGAGCTCACTGAAGATGTGGATAAAAAAGATGTACAAGGACTGAGGCCTGAGACGAGGCACCCTGATGTTAAGGAGTCAAAGTGTTACCAGTGTGCCCTGGGATCTTGTAATCTCCCATTATAGAAATAGAGATCAGCAGTCGTAGCAGCAAGGAGAAAGAGAAAGCTTTATTTCGCTTGTGCACAAGCAAGTCACCACCGTGAAAGGAAAACGGTGGGCTACCCCTGGGGGGGTGGCACGTGAGTTAGTTTCACAGGGAAGGGATTGGTCCAGGCATGGATGGGAGGGGTTTGTCTAGCGCTTCTCAGTTGCATTGCATGCTTCTTCATGCATCGCATGCAACATGCACATTTTAAATCTCTATCCCTAGGTGTGATTTTTAGCGTGAAAATGAGGAAGGGGTAACTATAGTTGAAATTTAAGTCTAACTGCACATGTGGAACCCGGGGAAGTCCCCTGGCCCCTAAAGCAAGAACTTGTGCTTAATAGCTTCTTGGGTCTTGTGCTGTGGATTGGCTGGAAGTTAAGCTACAACTTAAGGAAGGGGCTTTCGTTCTTTTCCTCTAAACCCCATCAAAACAGGCAAGTGGCCAGGTTGCTGGTTTGAGGAGGAGAGACAGGTAACTGAGACTTGAAGATGTGGTCTCCGGGATAAGAGGAAAGTGAGAGACACATGGTGTCCTGGATGGGGAATGAAGAAAGCGTGTCTAGCAGGAATGACTATCGATTCTGCTGTAGTTCCGGGAGGACGAGGACTGAGAACTGACCACTAACAATACAGAGATCACAGACAAGAGTTTTTGGTGGAGTGGTTGTGTTACTGGTAAAGGGTCCTGATCCAGACCCCAAAAGAGGGTTCCTGGATCTTGTGCAAGAAAGAATTCCAGGCCAGTCCACGGAGCAAAGTGAAAATAAGTTTATTAAGGCAGCGAAGGAATAAAAGAAAGGCTACTCCATAGAGCAGGGTGTTCCCAAAAGTATAAGGAGGAAGGCGTCCACCTGGATACAACGCTTGTTTATATGTAAGATAAAAGCCAAAAAACATCACGGGGGAGACGTGCTGTACTACCTGGGCTCGTCAAACAAAGGATTGCTAATCTTTGCGTAACGCCTGTCCTCCGCGAGCATCTGTATCATGATCTTTAAAGCGAAACTTCAACTAAGAAGGCTTTTAGTTAAGATACCCGGACATCAGGACCCGAGTCCCGGGTCTGCTGGGTAAACATTAACCTGTGCCTGTGACCGTAAACGCCCCATTCCTGGGGATGCAGCGAGCGAGGTTCGGCCTCAGTTTACCCAGCGCTGTTGGAGCTGGGGTCGCTCTGGCTGGAGCGCCTGAGCGCGGGGGGCGAGGTCAGGCCGGACTGGGGTTCGCAGCGAGCAGGAGGGTAGCGGGGCCCCTGCGGAGCGGCGCTGCGGGGAGGCCGAGGGCAGGGCGGGCTCGAACTCGGGCTCTTCTGGCAGCGGCTCCATCCCCGTTCCGTTCAGCCGGCAGCCGCCCCGGGGCGGAACCGCGCCCCATCTTTAGCCCTTTGCAACAGAAAGGCCCTTCCTCCCGCAGTCAGCTGAGGGAAAGATCGCGCTGGAGGGGATGTCGGGCCTGCCCCTGGTTTGTTCCGGGCAAGGACCGAGGGGGAGCCAAACTGCCCAGACTGCAGCGCCGCCACACTCGGGTCCGCGCCGACGGCCGTCACGACTGGGCATGCGCAGACGGCCCCGCCGGGAGCCATTTCGCTGAGCTGCGGGGCTCGCGGAGAGAGCGGCTGCGCAGGCGCCGGGCAAGAGGCTGTGCCTGCCCGACACTGGAGCGCGCGTGCGCGAGAGAGCCGGAAGGGGCCGTACCTGGAGCGGCGCCTGCGCAGTGGAGTGGCCCCGGGGGCGGGGCGCGGCGCCTGTCAGCTGACTGTGGCGGCGGCGGCCTCGAGGTGACAACTGTGTCCGTCGCAGGCTGCGGCAGGGGCGCAGGAGGTCGCCCGGCGCGTCACTCTCGGGTCGGCGAGCCACGGGGGCCGCCGCAGCACCATGGCGACCACCGTCAGCACTCAGCGCGGGCCGGTGAGGCCGCCAGGCGGGGGTCGGGCGGGGGCGGCGACCTGCGGCTGCGGGAAGGGCCTCGGGCCCGGGCTACTGCTCAGCGGCGGCGGGCGGGCCGGCTCCTCGGCTCTCCCGGGGTACGCGGGGCGCCCGGCCGGCCGGAGGGGAGCGGCGGCGTCCCCACCTCGGGGCGGGGCGGGACGGACGTGCCCACGCTGCGGGAGGCTTGAGCTCCCGGTCGCACCCGGGCAGAGCTTTGGGGAGACGGCCCCGAGGGAGGGGGCCTGCGCCCGTGGTGAGCCCCAGATGGAGGAGGTCCCCGTGCCCCATGGTCCCCCAGAGGAGGCAGGCGGCGCTCCCTAATGGTCCCCAGATGGAGGAGGGCCCCGTGCCCCATGGTGCCCAGATGGAGGCGGGCCCCGAGCTCTGATGGTCTCCCAAATGGAGAAGGGCCCCGCACCCTAATGGTTCCCCAAGTGGAGACGGGCACGCACCCTGATGGCCCCCCAGGTGGAGGCGGGCCCTGCACCCTGATGGTCCTCTAGATGGAGGCGGGCCCTGCACCCTGGTGGCCCCCCAGGGGGAGACGGGCCTACACTCTAGTTGGTCCCATAGATGGAGGCTGTTTCCTCTTTCTCCCTTACACAGAGGGAGGGTAGTGGTGACCACTTCTTGGGCCCAATTGTGTCCCCAGTTAGTGGCCACCGCGCAAAGCCTCAGTTTCTTCATCTGCAAATGAGAGGATAGGCGCCAAGAACTTCAGAGAACCTTTCCTGCTCTGAATTCTCTCCTGAGGGTTGCCTGTCAGTTTCTTCTATAGCATTAATATTGCAGGAGAGCTGGTGTAGACTGACTCAGAGATGATGGCCTCCTGGCATGAGTGGCCTCTGGGCTCACTGTTAGGGCCTTCTTGCATTGCTGTAGAGGAATACCGGAGACTGGGTAATTTGTAAGAAAAGAGATTTAATTGGCTCCTGGTTCTGCAGGCTGTACAGGTAGCATGGTGCCGGCATCTGCTCCTGGGGAGGCCTCTGGAAGCTTCCAGTCATGGCGGAAGGCCAAGTAGGAGCTTGCACGTCACATGGCGAAAGCAGCAAGAGAGTTGGGGGTGGGGAGGTGCCACACACCTTTTAATGACCAGATCTCATGAGAACTCCCTATCACCAGGACGGCGCCAACCCACGAGGGATCTGTCCCTGTGACCCACACGCCCACCCTGCCAGGCCCCATCTCCAACGCTGGGGGTCATAATTCAGCGTGAGATTTGGCGGGGATGAAGATTCAAACCGTGCCACTCACTGAGGCTGGGCTGGGCGGGCTGTCCTGAGCGGCACAGTTTTTATCAACAGTGGCTCTGAACCTGCTGTGGGCGGAAAAAGTCCTTTTTAGGATGTTCCAAGGTCCCTGCACTCGTGCAGCCCAGTACTGGACGTGGTGGAGGGGTGACCAGGGCTCCCCACCCTTAACACTGTATCCGCACGTCCTGGTGTTTCTCCTGAGGAGAGAATTCTTCAGGTAGAACATTTTTTTCTGTGTTTCGAATGAAGCCCCAGGTTTTGGACATAGACGCTTTTTCTGAGGACTTTGAAGGAGACCTCCTGACACTTTAGAGACTCAGGTGTGGAGCCTGCGGGTCGGCAGAGGTCCTAGACGGCCTCTGATGTCAGCATCTCCACCTCTTCATCTCCGCTCCACCACAGTGAGTCCCTGCAGGTGGTTGTGGCAGTGAGGTGCTCCTTTCTGCCTAACCGGAGGCTCATAGCAACAAGGGAACCGGCACCCTGCCTTTGTGTCCTCCTGGAGAGCCGGGGGGCATGGTGGCCGGGCAGGATGGCCCCTTCCTTGCTGTGTGGTCTGGGAGACATCCTCAGCCTCCTGGGAACTTGTCCCTCATCTGGAACCCCACTGGGGTGTAGGGCTGGGTTTGAATTCATCAGGTGCTGAGCACTCACGGAGCAGTGGGAGGCAGGCCCTTCCTGTTCTGAGGGCACCGGCGTGCAGTGCTGCTATGCCCGCGATGAGGAAGTGGGAGCGGCAGGAGATGTTCTCGCACGTAGGGCCTGTGCTGACAAGTGCTGAGGTGTTGTTAGCATCTCCTCTTGCCTGGTGCCTCCTGGGCTGTTTCCGTCACGTAGACGAGCAGGCACTTCAGGGGCACCCCCGCTGCCCAGTAAATGCCCAGTAACATCAGATCTGGCTCGGAACTGCCAGGGTCTCCAAGAAGGTGGTGTCAGCGACGGGGGTCTCGAGTGCTGCTTGGAGTACCTGTGACTTAATCAACCAGCGTTACCGACTGTGACGTTTAGGATGGCCACGATGCAGGGGCAACCAGGTGGTTCCTGCCACCGGGATCTTACAGGGCAGCACGGTAGACATGGCAGCACCTAAGGACAGCGGAGCCATGTGGTGACGGCGCGGTGGGTCTGTGATCTTAAGCCTTAGGTGCTAGGAGAGTTCGCAAATGGTGGCCTCACCAGGGCTGGGTGTTGGAGTGAGGATGTGACATCTCTCCTGAGCTTGGAGGAGGAATGGGAGTTGGGGGGTGGGCTGGGAGGGGAGTGCACGGAAAACAGAGGTGTGGGGTCTGGAGGTCGAGAGGAGGGAACCCCAGGGGCTGAGGATGGAGGGAGGCAGGAACTGGTGGCCGCAGGAGGGTCCTGGGCACAGGAGGGCTGGACTTGGCCCTGGAGTTTGTCGGGTCAGCGCAGCACTCTGTAAAGTGTTGCCCGGCACATGCCCACTGCAGGGCCCGCCTTGGCACCGGCCTGCTTCACTGAGCATGTGCCACCCCAGCCCCTCTGAATTAACTCATAGTGGGCCTTTAGCCAGTGTCTTGACACAGTATTTATCGTGTCCTCCACTTTCTGTTACCCTTGCGGTGCTGAGGAGGCAGGAGGTTAAGCAGGTGCTCGGCTTTCCAGCGGAGAGAGATGCTCCCCAGGGTGCGGGGGCAGGACTCTGTCTCGGGAGACCCTGACTGTGGTCTGGCCATTGCCTCACCCTGGTGGTGAGGGGAGACAGCAAGATCCCACGGGCTGTGAAGGAGCAGAGGCCACTAATGGGGCCCTGGGAGGTTCTTTTGTCCTTGGGTAGAGGGAGCTTCAGGGGCCTGGGTGCGTAGGTGTGGAGAGGACGTGTGTGAAGCTAGCCAGCCCGTGATCGTTCTGAGAGAATCCTACCGTGTTTAGATCTTCAGGATAATGTTTCCGTGAATAGCCACTAAGGGATGCTTTAGCCCTGTGCAGTGCTTCCCTCACTTTTCAAAAAGGCCAGTGTTTTGGAAACATAACGTTTTTTCAATATAGTCTGCATATTATCAGAAAGCACGCAAGGAGTACCGTGTGAGCCCCTGCATTCTGCAGTGAGAACTCGGGACGTTTGTAGGAGACTCTGCCTTCAGCCACCGCGGCGTCATTGGCTAGAGAGGCCTCTTTGGTAGAGGTGGGTGCGCCGTGCCGGGTCCAGGCTGCTCCTACTCCTTGTCCTGCTTTTGGAGGTGCTGGTTGACCATGGAGTCCAGCTGGAGGCGGCCTGGCCCCTCCTCTCCTCCCTGAGAGGCCTGTGCCTGTCCAGGTCCCCTCACTCTTCACATCGTTGATAATTCCTGCCGAATCGGTGACTTCATTAGGGATGGCAGAGGGTAGTTTCTGAACTTCATCACTTATTCAGTGTTTATTGTTTGTAAAGATTAGCTTTCCCCGTCAACCGGTGTCAGCCTGTTGTCCTGAAATACAGTTTGTGAAGGAAAGGTAAGTGAAATGCTTTTCCTTCACCTTCCCATACCTCAGGGAGAGAATTGGTTTTCCTTGTAGGTGTGCGTGGACTTTCTCTCCTGAGTGTCATGAGGAGCCCCTGGATTTTCCTGCGTCCTGTGTGTCTGAGCCAGTGGCACTCACCAGCTCAGGCGGGCCGTTGCTGGGTGGGCGTCCGTTCCTGCCAGCTGCACCTGAGCCAGTGGGGAACGCGCTCACCGCCTGCCCTTGCGTCCTTTCTCTCTGGGTCCCTGTGAACATTTGTGCCGGGTTTTTTAGGCCGGGTTGTGAGTGTGGACAGGTGTAAATTGCTGTGCTTGCCTGGAAATCAGATCTCTTCACTGGGTGGGGACCCATGGGCCTCTTGGAAGATAAAGGCTTTTTGCCTTTAATTATTTTGTCTGATACTGGCATGGCCACTCCAGCTGTCTTTTAGAGAGTATTCACCTAGTATTTTTTCCTTCTTTGATTTTACATTTTTTTGAAAAGTCAACTCTAAGAAGTCTAAGTCTTTTGATGGGAACATGCTAGTTTCATTTTTCTAGTTAATAGACGTCTAGATGTATACACAGATTTACAGATTTTTTAGATGTTTTCGTTTGTGCTTTTATTTGTCCTACATTTTCTTGTTTCTTTTTCTCTCATTGCCTTCTTTTGGATTTATTAAACGGAGTTTTAAAAAATTCAGTTGTTTATCTCAAGTACATACACACTGTGCTGGGAAAGTGCAGGAGCTCTCCTGGAAATGGTAACATGCACTTAATCAGCTTCTGCCGTGAGGGAGTCTCTGAGTGAACTCTGGCTCCGGAGGCTGCCCTACTGAAAAATAATTAAAGAAGAAGTTAATCATTGTCTGTGCCGCCTCCTGATCCACGCAGAGACCTCGGCCGCCCCGTCCCGGCACAGGTGCTGCTGTGCCTTGTGTGGGCGCTGCCTCCCCTTGGGGCTCGCACAGGAACGTCCCGCAGGAACGTGTTATTTCTCTCGAGTCAGTGCTTGTTTGGATTTCTTCTGTGTTTATCTCTTTTCTTATCCCTTCTGTGTCTCAGGCCTTCCATTTGGGGTCACTTTCCTTCAGCTTCAGGTTCGTCTTTTAGAATTTTCTTTGCTGGCAAGCTTGATTTTTGCTTGTAAATGCCTTTTCTCTGTGTCCTGACAGCTATTTTTGTGTGTGTGGAACTCTGGGTGGATGGTCCTCCGGGTGGACGGTCCCTTGTCCTCAGTGCCTCGAAGGTGGGACCCTGCCCCCTCCCGGCTCCCAGAGTGGCT